CGACGAACAGGATAGGTTCTCAACCGACGGGGTATCGAGGGTTACTCTAGCTGCCATGTCATGACTAAAATAAACCTTAGCAAAGCAAAATCCATCAAGATATATATATATATATATATATATACATATATATATATGTATATACATATATATATATGTATATGTATATATATATATGTATATATCTTGATGGATTAGTCGAAGGTTATTCGACGAGCCCCGGTCATCCCTAGGTGTGTTAAATATTTGAGTACCACACCCGACACAAGGGAAGATTCGAACCAGTGACTTGAGATAACTTCCGACCTTCAAAGAGGCTGCTCTACCAACAAACCACGGAAAGCGCGCACCACGGTACGCGCGCGCGCGCACATATATATATTCAGGATATTCAGGATGAATTATTAAGTAACATAATAAAATTTAAATGATTATATATATATAATCATTTTTAATATTTAATCTGTTATAAAAATAACTAAAAATAAATTTAACAAAAAAAATTACTGTCTTAGACTCACTACGAATCAGCTTATATTTTTTTTGATTTTTTTTAACTTTTATATATAAACTAATTTTTATAATAAATGTTCGTATTTTTTTTATTTTTTCTTATGTATTATTAATCTACCACTAATCATTTTTATTCATAAATTTTTTTCCTGAATCTCCAAGCACATCTTTTAAAATTTATTTAATAATACTCATTACTTTATCCCACATAATATTGACTTTTTCACGAATATCCCAAATTTTAAGATCATGAAGTTTACTTATAAAAATATATTTATTTGAGTTTTTTAGGTGTCCCGTCTAATTCTATAACAATATTTTGTTGTATTTTTTATTTTCCAACAATCCATCCTAAGATTCAAAACGAATAATTGATACTGAGTACTTATATTTTCACTTGAAATGATATTACATATTTTACAATCTCGATAATCTAATTTTCTCATAAAAAAATAATCAAGTTATATTGTCTAGCAATTCATCTTAAAATGCAAAACCAATAATCGATATTTAGTGCTTAAATTGCCTTAAAATTTTTCAATCCTGACAATCAATTTTTCTCATCAGAAAATAATTAAATTAGATTTTATTAGTTTCATTCTTGTAAGTGATAATATGCTCTTTTATTCTTAAATAAAGAATTAACAATAACAACAATATAAACTAAAGTAAAATCTAATATAGTTTAAATTCTTTATTAGTCACTCCAAAACTATAATCACCATAAATATTTTTAAAATCTTCTATCATTTTATCAACATGTCCATTTAAATATTTTTTAATAAGGCAATTCTTTCATCAAGAGGTATCCTTTGTATTAATTCTTTTAAGATTATTCTAAATTTTTTATTTTGAATATATATTCAAATACGGTTGTCAATTTGGCTCGTTGTTCGTGAACAGCTCGTGTTCGGCTCGTTAAGCAGCTCGTGTTCGGCTCGTTCGTTAAGCCTAACGAGCCGAACACGAACAAATTTTTAAGCTCGAAATGTAAACGAGCCGAACACGAACAAAACAATATATTACATATATTATTTATATAATAATATATTATATATATTTATGTCTAAGTTTAAATCATAACATCTCATGTGGCAATGTGGTTAGTGTCTTCTTTTGTATAGATTTGATTCAGGTTCGAATCTCACACTTTACATCTATTTTTCTCAATTTTAGTTTAACGAGCCAATTTCGAGCCGAACACGAGTCAAACACAAACACGAATATTTAAATCGAGCCGAACACGAACACACTATTCACGAGCCGATTTTGAACGAGCCAATTTCGAACACGAGCTATTTCGAACAAGCCGAACACGAGCCGAGCCTGAGCTCGCTCGTTTACAGCCCTATATTCAAACATACTGAGGGAAAATAAACACTAATAACATTAAAAATCTTAGTATCAATAACAACCTTTAGGTCAATAGTTCTCTCTAATTTTCTTAATTTTTATAATATTATATTTCAAACTCTTATATGTTGTTATACACCATTTTTAATGACATTTGCGTGAATACTAAAGTTTAAAACTTAAACCCTAAATTTTTTTAGACTTTTTTCAACTAATTTAATTTTTTAAATGAATAAGATATTTATCTTCCTATGATTATAATATCTATTAATTTCATTAATTTATCTTATGAGTGTACTTAAATTATAATTTTTTTTCCTAATATTAGTTTCAAGGATTACTTTGTCCGCATATGTCTATAATGTGTGAGTATATATATTCAAAATTCCTCTTCTAATATTAGTTTCATGGATTACTCAGTTCTTATGAACCATAACATCTGTCGGTGCAACGACCCTTACACATTTTTCATTGTATTTAGACCATGCAGTGCATTGCTTCTAGTTGATGCTCTAGCATTGACATAATGATTTAAAAAATTCAAGGAAAACACTATATAAATCAGCTTCTAGAAATACCAAAAGAATTAAAATTTTGAACTGAGCTTGTCTATAATAGAATGCATGAAGAGAGCTTAAATTCCGGATAACATCCAAACCGTTAATCCTGGGATTTCTAGCAAGAATTTGAGAAAAAATTCAGATCACCAATTTTTTTAAAAATGTCATTTCCTAACACAATATTTGATACTAAAATAAAAAACACAACTTCAAAATCATCAGCTAAAATAAAATTATATGCATGCTTTTTTTAAAAAAAAAATTATATGCATGCTTAAATGATTAGTTGATTCTCATATCAATCATCTATACTAATAAATTAATAATACTAAACAGCAACCTAAAAAGAGAAATTGATAACTTAGCTTACTTTCATGGAAAAATATTGCAGGGATAAAGAATTTTTAAGGAGTCGACGCTTTGTCAAGAACCTGAAAAACTCCATTCATATTCCATCCCACGACAAATCAAAGACTGTCAGTCCTATGAAACCTCAATAGAAGTAATAAATTTATATGTTACACATCTATAAATCAATAAAGTATAAAACAAACCTCAGAGTGTGTCTGTGCCTTTAGCTTGTTAAGAAACTTTAGAAAACCGTTAGATATTGTGTAAATCATTACCCTCTGCAAAAAACTTGGTACTACCTGAGCAAACAACAAATGAGCTAACAGAACATTTGAACATATTTGGTGATTAAATGCCAATGAAAATCATTCAGTTCATCTCTAGGAAAAGTAGAGAATTTAAAACTTTTTCTACCAAATCCTAAAGCATATATCCCTTCTTTTCTTCAAATAAACCACACTTGAATCAAGCTAATAAATGCAAAAACACATTCATATATTCATTACATACATAGAAAACTACTGGAAAATAACAATCAATGCCAGATAACAAGAACGCACAATTAATATAAGGTAAAAATAATAATAGCCAGTAAATTGCCAAGTAATAGAAAAAAATATCAGCACTACAATATAAGTATTTAAATTCCATGCTAGAGACGAGCAGCAAGCTTGTAATCCATAGTTTGGGTAAGGTTTTCTCTAATCACTATAGCAAGCATTCAAGGAAAATTACCCAAAGAAGGTTAATGCAATACCAACGACTTAACTTGATAGAAATCCATCCAAATAACAGGTCTATCAACATATAAGAAACTAAGGAGCACTAATAATTGGGTCACATAAAAACATTGACAGACAATTAAGACATAAATTTCATTGCATGTTGGTACTACTAAATAAAGCTTTGAAGGTAGGCAATGGATATTTCAATCTCTGTTCATCTGGTCATCTGGTTAAGGCATGGGCTTCGTAAAGGCTGGCTCCAGGCTTCAGAACCATCAGCTGTTTTAATTGGATGGAAAGGGAACAAAGGTCAAAAAACATGAAGATTATAAATCTAATGTAGGTGGGCTGGGTAGGCTACTGACAAAAAGCTGTCAAAATATGAAGCAATGGTCAGTGCATCTACAAGTAATTCTATTATACCGGAATGACAAATAAGGTAAGGTAGTAGTCTACCTGCCGGTCCTAGGGGGTACCCTAATAACCATAATGTTTTCCATGTGAAACAGGGTTTGGACCAGATAACCTGGTAACAAAAGTTCGGTTAGGTGCAACATAGAGGCGAACTTTTAGATGAGTCGCAGGAGAAATGGAGAAATCAAATGACAGCACATATAAGATGCATTACATAAAATCTTAAAATTTAAATCAATAAAAAATTAACATTAGAACTTTTCACTAAATGTGAGGCTAATAAAAACATAGGTCATCCATGTGCTTCTTAAATCAACAACTATGCTATAAGGATCCTTCAATGTTTCATGCAGACAAAATGTCAGAATTTATAATTTAGGACATGGTATTGAGAGTGCCTTATACTTTGTTTTTTCTAAAATGTAAACAATCCTTGGACTCACCTTGGACATATCAAGAACACATGCTAGTAGCATATTGGAGATAGCACAGACCACCCAACCTATTAACCCACCAAAATTTTTTTCTGGATTTAATCTACTTCTCCCGCTTAAAATATTATCGTATGTTACTTAAAAACGGATTATACTAATCTTCAAGCTTTATAATAACAATATATCTATGCAATATATATGTATGTGAGTGCGTATGCATGTGTGAGCATGTGTGAGCATGTATTTGCTTGTGTTCGTGTGTGCATTTTTACCTGTCATATCATCTATCTTCCAAGATCCGGCAATGCCACGTGTCAAGTTCAAATAATGAGTTGGTTCTCTTCACAGGACACAAATCCAAAGATGAATATTCTTAAGATAATAAATCAATAGCATTATATTCATTACTGACATCTTTTTGAATGTCGTTTTAGTAGGCAATGATGCTTCAAATAAGCTGGATGCAAAAAGTCATAGTTTAATTTATGAATACATGAAATTATTCTTTTTGAGGGGCAAAAGTGATTGCTTGAATTTTGAAATTATTTATTTTGTTTTCAACCAATATGCCGCATTTTAGAATACAGAAATGCATGCCATAATCTTAAATAACAACAAAGAGAAAAGATTTAGAAAAAAAATGACTTTACCCAGTGCTTCCAGCACGACCAGTATGAGCACCATATGTCCCATAAGTACTACCACCCTTCAGGAAAGACAGGCGTAAATTTAATCACCAAGCAGTCAACAATTATGTCAAACTATCAGCCAATAAAAAGCTAAAATATATTGTACGTGGATGTTAGACAACCATACAGCTCAAAAGGAATAGTAGAGCAGTCACCTGAGAAGATGCATAACTTCCAGAGGGAAGCAAGTCGCCTGAAGCACCATAACGCCCAGAATAAGAATACCCACGACCAGTTCCCTTTGAATCCCTGCTTCCATATTTTGAAATGTCTGGAACATCACTTGGCATAGGACGGTAAGGAAGAGGCTGAAATGATGATAGGGCGTCCTCTCTTTCAAAAAAGTTTGCTTTCAACCTTGTTGTTATTTGAACAAGAGCATCCTTGGCAACATCAAGGTCTCCACTAATCTGATAACATACAGCTTACAGTCAACCCGAAAGAAACAATTTCCTCGCAAAAGCAGTAGGAAACTCCATAACAAAAGAAAAGGATTCATACCTGAACCATCTCATCATCATCTAAAGCAACTTTGGGAAGGTTTTCCTTTGACAATATGCGTATATTCGCACGAGTGCTTCTTCTCATCTCAGAGATGATACTGCCACCTTTCCCAATAAGACAACCAATACGTGTTGTCGATACAAGTAAGCGTGTTGTATATGAAGGTTCACCAGACTCTCTTTCAGTTCTTTCACTACATCTAGGCTGCAAGCGCACTGCAGCATCTATTGTTGCAGAAATCGGGTCTTCAAAAAGCTGTAAGAACAGAGTTAAATATTTTAAAAAAATACTCAACGTGATGAGTTGAATTCCAATTGCTGGAATGAATCTTCATTCACCTCATTTGCTGAAATTGTAATTATGCAGTCATCTTCTGCATTGGAACTATCAACCTTTATAAATGCTCCAGAATCTTGCCTAATCTGTTTGATGACTAAACCACCCTTGCCGATAACACCTCCAATATTTGCAGCAGGGCATAACATCCTTAATTCGAATTCTTTTGTTGAAGTATCATCCCTTGGAGGAGGGTAGAATGATGGCCAGTCACTGGCAGCATCACTCTTGTAGCCTCCAAATTGACTAATCAATGGACCCACACCCATGACAGGTGTTCCACTACTGAATCCACCATAATGACTGCTGTTAGCCACATTCGAAAATAGCATATGCTGCGAGCGCGATGGATTTTCATGTAGACGAGAGGAAACATCAAAAAGAGCCTTTTTCACAATAGAAGCATCCCCAGCAATCTAAAATACCGGATATAAAGGATTAATTAGACATATTGACATAATATGAGATGTAAATGCAAGCCAAGTTGTAGCTGTCATTAAGTTGACCCAAAAAAAAAACCTAAAGTTATGTGGCTTCTTTGATCAAAACGATGGTTTTCAAAGTTTCTCAGATCATTCTTACACCGGTAAATATGAAGCTCATAACAAATTTTCTTGACACGTTGACAAAGTGGTTCAATAAATAATCTTATACTATTTGGCCCATATTGAATTCTCAAAATAGCGACAATTGCTGTTACCTTTCTAGGCTTTATCAATACTTAAATATGTTTGTGACGGAGGCTTAGATTCCACATGCTGTTATGTTTTCATCAGAATGAACAAACCTAATCATCTAGTGAAAACTACGCGAGAGAAATTTGATTAAAACTTGACTTAGACATCAGGAATGATTGGGGTTGTAAAGAATAAGTTTACAATCATAATCACACAGTTCTAGAAGTTGCTGATACGGAAAGTAAGAGAATACATATAATAATACCTGCAGAAGTTCATCAGTACTAATGGCACAAGAAGGAAGATACTCATTCTTCAATATGCGTATCTGAGCACCAGTGCTGCTGCGAATGCCCTGAATGATCTGTCCACCTTTCCCAATAATGCATCCAATCTGATCTGATGGCACAAGCAAGCGAACCGTAACTTGAGGAGCATTTGCATCATCATCATCATCACCTCCATCATCGTCTGATATTAACCTTTCATGAACTTTGAAAAGTGCATCTTGTGCAGCACATACTGTTTCTCCACTATCTTCAAGAGTGTTACACTCTTCACTTGAACTAAAAATTGTTATTACTCGCTCTTCACAGCCAGGAACAGTCTCACCAATTCTTATCTTAGCATGTGTATCTGCCCTCAATTGCTTCACAATCTCACCACCTCTACCTATGATACTTCCTATCTTCCTCCCTTGGCATAGATAACGGTAGACGGTATCTTCAGGCCCAGGAGCATACGCCTCCTTTTCATCGCCAGGATTCCTTCTCTTGCTTCCTCCATTATCTCCATGATCAGAACGCGAATGAGAGCGCTTTCCATGGTTGTTTCTTTGTCCAGCCATTTCAGTGAGGAGGAACACTTCCAAAGAATGTACCTAGTAAGATGAGCCCAGAATGGCACAATTAGAGAAGCCAAAAGAGCTTCTATCCTTCAATAAGTCCCAAGTTATCAAACTTAAAAAAAAGGAAAAAAAAACCAAAGATTCAGAGAGATACATCCAAAAAGTATTACTAAAATCTAAGACAGGATAGGGGAAATTAAATGATTTTGAACATTAAAGAATTATCAATCAAAACATACAAATTGAACAAATACAGGGTCTTGAACACTAGTTCTATTGGCTTTATTATCATAGATTCTGAGAGATTCCTTTGGCATATATAGTGACTTACAATTTAAAAAAAAAAATTGACACGAGCCTAAACAAACAAAGCATAGTAATGATGATCCAAACAACTATCTAATATCAGTAATTTAAAATTGCTATGGGTAGTAAAATCCTTACTGGGAATATATCTGTGTACATACATCTATTATAAAAGAAAGAGCACACCATCCATTGCAAAGTTCAAATAAAGTACCAAAAATATAAAATAAACGAAAATGCAACTTCAGATCTACTCAAATAATATGAAAGTAGAATATCAACTGGTCCAGCAGCTTCCCACTTTTTTACGATTGTTAACATGCATGAGAGCTAAGAAGCAAAAGATACGTTCAAGCTTATACGGATTGATTTGTGGCATAATAGAATGCCAAATAAGACAATGAAAACATAGCTATCAAGGATCATCAAACAATGAGATTGTTTGGTTGTAAGTAGGATTTAGTTTAAATAGAATTTAGTAAATCCTATAAATCTGGATTTATCATATCCCGAGGTGGTTACATCATGAAAAACTGTTTGGTGCATTAGTAAATAAATCCTAATAAAACATGAGAAACTGTTTAGCAGCTTTATAAGGATTTAACATGATTTATCAGAGAAAACATCCGAAGATAAAAAAAAATCCAAAGCATTAACATTCTGAGAAAATTTGAATTTATCTTGCTAAGATATTAAATATAAAAAAAATATAAATGAGTGTCCAAATTAGTGAAGTGCATAAAAAATGGGCATTTACATTAATATATAATTAATAAATTCTTTGTAAACTAATTATTTGTTAATCAATAATTGATTAATGATTATTATATAAATTAAAATTTATTCAAAATTGTATTAAATAATTTAAACTTTAAAATTTATTTTTTATTCATTAATTAACTAAAAAATATTTAGGTATAAATTTATCTAATTATAATTACTTTGATAATGTATTAAATTAAATATTAATTATTAATCGAATAAATTAATAAAATTAGCTTACATAAAAATAAATTAAAAGCACAACCATATCTTCCTCTTCCCAGAAACCCTCACCTACATTCTCCCCATCTCCCTATCCTTCTCTACTGAAAACCCTCTATCATGTCCCTCCCTTCCCGGTTTAGCCAAATACCTAAACCCTCGTTAGATAGTCACAATTAGAGCTAGCAGGGAAGGCGCCGCATATATGACCACCAAATCTCCCATTATTCTCATCCTCCCACTTCGCTCCTACCAGAAACCATTGAGAATTGTTTGGCTGCAAGTAGGATTTAAATTAAATAGGATTTACTAGATCCGGTAAACCTAAAATATTATTAAATTCGAAATGATATTAGGTTCAATTAAGGCTAAATCTAATTAAATTTATTTGATGTGTTTCACATAAATCTATTTAAAATATATTTTTCCTGCGCTAAATCCATTATATCCAACTTATAAGTGGATTTAGTAAATACGGATTTAATAAATGGAAGAAGCAAAAGTTAGATTTAACTTAACCGTGAATTTATTTAACCTATTTATTGTGTTTGGCTGGATTCAGGTTAAATCTAACATAAATCCTCTTAAAAGTATCCTATCAAACAGCTTGTTGGGTCTTGTAAATCCCGGATTTATCGCGAATCGGCGTCATTTTGATATTTGAGATTTATGGGGAGCGCAGGATTTAAAAAAGCATTTTTTTGCCGTTTGGCAGGATTTAGCCTAAATTCTGCTTGAAACCGGCTACCAAACAGCCCATGATGAAGAGGGTGAACAAAAAACAAACGAAAAAGCCGAATGTATTAATCGGAAACAATTTTTACATGTAAGGAAATATGTGAAGTAAGTTTGGATTAGTTTCTTACCCTCAAGGCTCGAACAATTTCCGCGACACGACGAGATGGTACCGCAAGAAAGCCCTAGTTCTTACGGATGCGAAATATATAGGGCGAGGCGAAAGCGATAAAATGGCCGGCTTATATATATTTTGGCAAGAAGGGTCCCTGCTTGCAGCGCGCTAGGGTTTAGTTCGACACTGTAAAGTGTAATGACGGTTCACGCAAACACGGCCAGACCGCACGCACCTCCGCCTAGGGCTGTCAAAAAAGCGAACAGTTTGTGTTCGATTCGTTCGATAAGTAAACGAGACAAACACGAATAAATTTTTTTCGTTCGGTTAGTTAAACGAACCAAATATGAACAGTGATGCGTTCGTTCGTATTCGAATCGTTATTATTTGAAATATAAAATAATATAAAATAATTATATATAAAAAAATTTATTATATTTTAAAACATTATATTTTATAAATTATAATATATAATAAAATAATAATAATAATATATTAATATACTATAGTAGTAATATACTAATATAGATATTGTATATTTATATAATATAAGTTATATAATTAATATATAATATTATTTTTATATATTAATATTAGGGATGTCAAACTGGCTCGCCGTTCGCGAACAGCTCGTGTTCGGTTCGTGTTCGGCTTGTTCGTTAAGAAACGAACACGAGCTTATTTCAAACAAACTAAATTTTAAACGAACCGAACACGAACACAAGCTTTGTTCGTTCGTGTTCGGTTCGTTTACACCCCTACCTCCGCCAATTATTTTGAGAGGAGTCTTACATCATTTATAGACATTCCAATCAACTCTTATGTATTTGCATATATAATTCCTAATCAAAGAAACAGACCTGGGTGCTGTAGTTTAGAGAAATTTACCTAGCTTCACTATATAATTCCTAATCAAAGAAACGGACCTGGTGCTGTAGTTTAGAGAAATTTACCTAGCTTCATTATATAATTCCTAATCAAAGAAATGGACTCATTTGATCGAATAAAATTCTCTGGATTCTCCGATCAAAATGGTTCATAATCCTAAAACATTATTAATAAATTTTCACCCCTCGCATGAGAGAAGAGCTTGAGCATTGAGAGAAACTTGAGGCTTTGAGAATAAGCTGAAGTCCAGCACCATCTCTACTATCGTCGATCGCCGCCGACAGCCATCAATCGTCTTCGACAGTCGTCGACCACCGTCGACCATCTCCGACACCCGACAATCGGCGTCGGCCACTGTCGAGCGCCATCAACAGCAATCAACCACCTTCGATCACCACTAATCATCGTCAACCACCACCAACCAGACGTCGTCAATCAATATTGTAACTTAAAAAATCTAGTAACACTTTCTTATTTGTGGGACAAGGGAATTTTGTGATCATCAAACTATAGTAGATTTTTACAACAGGGCAATGCCCCATGGTTTTTTTCCTTTATTGGTTTTTGCATGTAACAACTTCTGGTGTCATTACTGATTGTTTTATTTCACCTGAGTGTGTGCTTAATTCTCGTGCAGCATTAATATGATAATAAATTACTCTACAGCTGTGAATTTTCTAACACGCATCGGTTTGGCACCGTCAATGAGAACGAAGTGTCATTCGACACTATCTTCAGCTCTCAATGATGTATATCATCAAACTATCGAAGGAATCTTCTTTGTATTTTAAATATCATCCCTGGAGTATTCTTCGATTTTGGGGGCAAACTTCACCGTGGCCTCAAAAGGTCGTTCATAGTAATATCCCAGACACGATTGTAGTGGGGTTGTCTTCTCGCATCATATTCAGACTCAAAGTATTTCACAACTTCTTCAAGATTGAGGGGCAACCTTCACTGCAATCTCGAAAGGTTATTCATGTTAACGTTATGAGCACAATTGTGGTGGGGGAAGTCATCTCATATTTTACTCATATAACAAGTCTTTGAGAATCACTCATAAAGTTTGGGGTAATCTTCACCGTAAATAACATTTCATCAGTACCCCGTCATCATACTGGAGTTCTTCTCCAACCAGATCAAGAAGTCGATCTCTTCAAGGCTAGAAACATGGGTTGTTCGTATGAAAAACACACTTGCCGAAGGAACAATAAATTCAAAAGCAACAACTAATAAGTTTTCAAACATTATTTTTGAATTTGATTGCAAATATATTTACAAGAAAACATACGGTCCATCGTGACCTACGTCTAAGTCTCGAAAAACATTTAGCATCTCTAACACCTCATTTTATGATTAATCGATCCCTGGGAGACTCAATTCGACCTCTTCGCAATCGTCATGAAAAAACTTTAATACACAACCTCAGATAGGTCAAAAATCCCTGATGGATTTCTTTCGACCTCTTTCATAATAGGTTACGGTCGTCAAGCAAAAGCTTCGACAAACAACCTAGGATAGGTCAACCATCTTCAGTGGATTTTATATGACTTTGATACGGTTTATTACCGTCGAGCATCTCCGGTTATACAACTCATAACTAGTCTTACATTCTCCTTTCAACCATGTCCCCTCGAAGTTGAGCCCAAGTGGCAATACTTGATGGGAAGCTAGTAGTGGACATGATTCTCAGTAGAAAGACTCCATGAGTGAATAGTTGACAAGATCTCCACTCAATGACCTCAGAAGAATGCAAAGCTTCAAAAGATAAAAAAACAACAAAGACCTCGAAAGGCTACAAGCCTCAGAAGGCATGGTACATTAAATACCTCAAACTTCTACGAGCATGAAAAGATATTGATTCACTTCAAGCTCCTATAACGTATAAGCTCAGGAGAGCACAATTTTGGAAGACACGAGCCTTAAAAGAATTTCATGCAATTTAGAAGCAACGACAACCCCAAAAGCAACACAAAGATTTACAAAAAATACATTATCATCATTTACAAATGTCGCATAAGATAATTAAAAAAATCATCAAGAATTGGTACAAAGGCTACAAGAGATATCACCGTGTTGACCTCACTTTTGGTTGAGGTCTAGAAAACTTCTTTAGTAGCCTAGGTCTAGCCATAGGACTTTCCTATTGACTAGTCTTAGAAAATTAGAAAAGGTACCCCCACCATTAGAAATTCAAAACTATTCTTTTTACTCAACTTAAAATTCCACATATTGATATTAACCTCTAGCATTTAGTAGATAAGATCATTATAAGAGAATTCAAGAAGAGTCCCTATAGGATTACTTGGCTTTAGGGTCGACCCTGGGTGTTGACTTGGAACTAGGGTACACCATATCTTCACAATACATTAATCCATGGCTCATTTAGAATGGATATCTATCCAATTCTATGTGAAATGCCTAACTTGGTCTTTTGCCCCTATGCACCTCCAACATACCTAACTGCCCTTGGTACCCAAATTTGGCTAAAATTCCCAAATTTTGC